CCCCCCCCCATCTGTAGCACTATAAACTGTAAAGTTTCAACCTTGCCTAAAAACTTCTCCACCTTAAGGAGTACAATGTCAAAATCAGTGGATCGTGTTTGTGTTGTTGACGAATTTAGCTCGAGCATTCATCAATGGAGGTTCAGGTATAGAGGAGCAGAAATGAGAGAAGAAGAATTAGAGGTGAAGATGAACAATGAACGTTGTTTTTCATTCCACAATGTACATGTTAATATACAATTACAGTCTAATAATACAGCTAAGTGACAACTGTCATTCTCTATCTAACTTACTAACTTCTTTTAACAATAATTAACCACCTTGCTAACTACCTAACAGCAGTGTAAGTAACAACTGCAACCACAGTTAGTTAACTCAGGTTACTCCTATTTCATCACTCCCCCTCAAACCGGTAGGTGCAAAAACATTGAGCACTCCCAGTTTGGATACTAGATACTCATGTTGTGATCTCACAAGTGCCTTGGTCAATATGTCTGCTTGTTGCTTTTTAGAACTAACATGATGTGTTTTGATTAATCCTTGTTGAATCTTCTCTGTTATAAAGTGACAATCAATCTCTATATGCTTTGTCCTCTCATGGTACACTGGGTTTGCTGCAATTTGTTGTGCTGCCTTATTATCACAGAACGATTCAATTGATTTCTTCACATCTGCTCCTAGCTCCTTGAACAATCCAGCCACCCATATCAATTCTGCTACAGTCCTGCCATGCTTCTGTATTCAGCTTCTGCTGAAGTTCTTGATACTGTGTTTTGCTTCTTTGATTTCCAGGAAATGAGTGAGTCTCCATACTTTACTAGAAAACCAGTAACTGATTTCCTTATATTAGGACATGATGCCCAATCAGCATCACAATAGGCACTCAAAACATTTGCCTTTCTGCTACTCATCAGTATGCCAAGTCCAGACTCTCTCTTGATGTACCTTACAACTCTTAAGGCTGCTTCCTAATGGCTTCTCTTAGGGTGCTGCATGGATTGGCTAAGGGTTTGAACTGCAAAAGCTATATCTAGTCTGGTTAATGTCAAGTACAATAGCTTCCCAATAAATCTCTGATATTTTCCTTTATCTTCCAATGCATCATCTACTTGCACCCCTGTAATGTCATATAGTTCTTTGCTAGTAAACTTCTGGCTGTATTCAAGTGGAGTCCAAGCAAGCTTTGGAGCATTTAATCCTAGATCACCAATTAGTTCTAAGGCATACTTTCTCTGGTTCATCAGAATACCTTTGGTGGATCTACTGAATTCAATTCCCAGAAAGTATTTTAACTCTCCAAGATCCTTCATTTTGAATGTTTTGTTCAGTTGATCCTTAGTAGCTTCTATCAATTTCAGACTATTCCCAGTGATCAACATGTCATCCAGATAAGCCAGAATGACAACAATGTTGTTATCCTGTTTTTGAGTAAACAAGGAATGATCCAGACTGCTTTGAGTAAACCCCTGAGCCACTAGAGCTTCAGTCAACTTAACATTCCATTGCCTGCTTCAATCCATAAAGGGATTTGACAAGCCTGAATACAAGATGCTCCCCCCGGCTTGTAAACCCCTCAGGTAGTTGCATATATACTTCATCATGAAGATCTCCTTGTAAAAAAGCATTGTACACATTCATTTGATAGATGTGCCAACCTTCTGCTGCAGCTATAGACACCACTGATCTCACAGTTGCTATTTTAACCACTGGAGAAAATGTTTCAATGTAGTCAAGGCCTTCTTGCTGGTTTTATCCTTTGGCAACCAATCGTGCTTTAAACCTCTCAATATCTCCATTGGCTTTATACTTAAACTTGAATACCTATTTGCAACCAATGGGAATCTTTCCTTTAGGCAAAGGTACCAATTCCCAAGTTTTGTTCTCCTCCAGAGCTGAAATTTCAGTCTTCATAGCCTCTACCCATCTGGGGTCTGTAGAAGCTTCCTTGAAGGTTCTCGGTTCAGCTACAGAAGTAGGGGCAGTGAGAAAATGTTTATAGGCAGGACTGATGTTGGTATAGTCAACTGAATTCTGAATAGGATATGATACATGTGAAGCAAAATTGGTGGCTGGTGTGACAAAATCCTTTAACCAACCAGGAGCCTTTTTTGTTCGAACTGACTTTCTTAATTCTGTTGACTCAGTTGATGGCATGGCATCTGGAAAGAAGATTTCCTCGTGTGCAGATTCAATCACAGATGAATCCTCCATCACTGCTCCTGTGTCTGGTTCAGAAGTAGGTGGAATATCTATAATGATAGGTATATCTGCTTCATGATCAACTCCAGCTGATGGAACTGGTGAAGCATCATTCTCCAATTGAACAATTTCTAGATCATCTAAACCAGCTTCTCCTTCCATGTCATTCATAGCTTGATCAGACAATATAGGACAATTCAAACCACCATCAGAAAACAGTGGTGAAGGTCTGCACTTTTTGAACTTGAAGGGAAATATAGTTTCGCTGAAGCTAACATCTCGGTTGATGAAGAAGGTGTGAGAGGCTAGATCATACAAGATATATCCTTTTGTAGATTCTGAATATCCCATCATGATAGCTGCAATTGCTCTAGCAGTAAATTTATCATGATTGTTCAGCCTCTTTGCAAAACACAAGCATCCTATTGTCCTCAGATGTTACAGATTAGGTTTCCTTTCGTGAAAAACTTCATAAAGTGACTTCCCTTGTAAAGCCACTGATGGCATTCTGTTGATCAGGTAAGCTGTTGCTATGACATAATGTCCCCAAATTTTTAAGGGAATTGCTCCCTGAAATCTGATTGCCCTGGCTATCTCTAGGATATGTTCATGTTTTCTTTCAGCCACCCCATTTTGTTGTGGGGTGTGCGCACAAGTTCTCTGATGTATGATCCCTAAGCTCTAAAAGATCTGAGAGAAAATTGCATTAAAAAAACTCTCCACCATTGTCTGATCTTGTATTTTCACAGATTTCCCAAACTATGTTTGTATCATATTGAAGAAATTTCATAAAATCACAAATACATCATTTTTAAACTTGAGCAGATATAACCAAGTAATTCTAGAATGATCATCTACAATTGTCAGAAAAAAATTATTCCCATTGTAAGTTTGGACATTGTAGCGGCCCATCAATGTGTAGCAAGTGAAAAACTTCAGAAGCTCTACTTGTGCTATTACTGAAAGGCAATCTAACATGTCTTGCTAATGGATAGATTACATAGTTTTCTATTGCTTTCTACACTGTTCTTGAGATAGCCCCAACATTTATTTTATTGCTCCAACTGATGCATGTCCCAACCTTCTATGCCAAAGATCAATATCTACCTCCTCCTTTACTACAACCAAGCCTTTATTTTCAGCAATGGTCCTCTTAGTATAATTCTGAGAAAATAAGTAGAGATCACCTCTTTCTCTACCAATCCCCCTATCTTCCCACTGTAAAGGTCCTGGAACATACAAAAATGTGAAAAGAAGGTGACTGAGCATTGTAATGCCTTTGTGAGCTTAGAAACAGACAACAATTTATTTGAAGTCTGGTATATATAGGACATTGTCTAAAGTGTCTATGCCATTGAAACTACATGAACCAATATGTGTTACAGCAGTTGTTCCTCCATTTGGTAAGTGTACCTTTTGTTGTTCCTGAGGTTCTAATTTGGTTTTTTTTTTCTAGCACATTTAGGTCTGAGATCATATGGTTTGTGGCTCCAGAGTCAACAATCCAATCCTTCTTCTGCAAATCTACTGAAAAATCATTATCATTACCTGCCATATTTGCTGAGACTTCATCAATACCTGCCATGTTAGCTGATGATTCACCAGTGTTGTCCTGTTTGAGCAGCTTCAGGATCTGAGAGTACTGTTCAGGTGTGAAATAAGGCCCTAGAAATTGTTCTGCACCATTGCCATCACCATGGATTTGTCTTCCCTCCTTTGCATCATGTTTTCTGCCATCTCCAACAAGGACATTATGAGAAACAACGAAATTCTGCTTCTTCTTATACTTGAAATCACCAGGGTATCCTATGATTTTGTAACAACCTTCACGAGTGTGACCTTTTAGTTTGCAGTAGCCACAATACACATTATAGTTCCTCTTAGGCTTCTGAGTAAAATCTCCTTTTGCCATCACAAGTGTTGTAACATCTACATTATCTGTTGTAGATACAGTGTTTGTCATGTTCCTTTGGCTCTCCCTTTCCAAAAGCATAGAGTATGCTTTGTCAACGGTAGTCACAGGTACCATCATGAGTAGCTGACTTCATATGACTCATTGAGTCCCATTAGAAATTGTAGAAGCTTTTGACGCTCCATAAATTGAACAAATTCACAAGAATTGGTAGTGTCACGACCAGGAATTGGTGCCAAACTATCAAATTCTGCCCAAAGCACTCTAATTGAGAAATAAGTTGAAATTGAGCTAGTGCCCTGCCTAGCAGTGGAAATTTCTCTGTGGATCTGAAAAATCCTAGAACAATCCACCTTATCAAAACGTTCCTTCAGATCATCCCAAATTGCATAAGCATTTGATGAATACACCATTCCACTCAATAATTCCAGTGAAACACAATTCATCAACAAAGTCAAAACAATTGCATTACAATGCTCCCAGAGATCAACGAGATTCGTACCGTATTTCTCCCTTTTGTATGTGTCGTCAATGAACCCTAGCTTATTTTGAACTAGGATTGCAATCGTCATTGCCCGGCTCCACATGGAGTAATTTTCCGGTCCTTTCAATTGCAACGGGATCAATATAGCTCCTGAATTATCATTTGAATTCAAGAAAAGTGGATGATTGTGACCTAATTT